TAAATTATATTCGATACGTGTTCATATCTAATGTTAATATATTGAATGCACAACGAATGCTTGACTATCTTGTTTAACAACTCATTTTTCGAACCGATCTACCATTTAACACGTCGACACGGCAAGAATACATTTCCTCAGTACGGCATTATTTATTTTGTACAGCAAAAATATATATATAAGTACGCCATGTACGCCAATAAATCAGTGAAAAAAAACACCGTGGTCTACGCACACTTGGAAAAGTACGACGCTATTGGAAAAAGTACGACGCTATTGGGATCGAGTCGAGGCGGCGGGTCTTCTGAAATAGATGGGTCGAGATGTCTAGGGGTCCTGGGTCAAGTTGTCCAATGAAAAATGGGTCGAGATTTTTTTTGGGTCGAGATGTCCAGCACCCTTAGGACGCTAGAACCGTTTACAGTAATTGAACCCGGATCCAGCCAGATATCGCGTTATTTTGTAAACACATTCAACATTGTCATTGTGATAGTTGAGTTCTGGACAGTGCTTGATGAGGACAACGAACAACACTTACCCAGTACTTTGTAGTTTTGTTGTAACTTCAGACAAATCCGACAGCCGCCCAAATATTGGTAAAAGTAATAATAACTTTCTTATTATAAAATAGCACTGTCAAACTAGTATGATCACCTGACCATGGTAGACAGGAAGTGATACATGCAGCCGCTGTAAGCATTTGGTAATTTCTGGAAGCGTGATACGTCTATTTCGGGTTTTCTAAAACAGACTAATAATTATCTGCAGCACTAGAGTACACCATATTTATTACTAGTCAAATTATGCTTTATTTATTTTTATTGTATATTTATGAAACCCATTACATGTAAGCTCAAATTGGATGAATGATGATACTGTAAATGTTAATGTATAGTCACGACTCACTGACACAACAACAACATGAGTATTGAATCTCAGTTAGCGGAATACAGATCACGGAAAGCGAAAGAGGGAAGGACAGATGATTGTATTGACGATCCTGTAGATTCCCACGTAAAAGAGTATTTTTCTGACCAGACTGCACCGGTAAGAATTATTACACCAATTTCAGAAAAAATTGCCAAGCTACTCTGGATCGATACAATATTTAGGATGTGGTACAGTTTTCCCGGAAGTAAAATATATATTAATTATATTCCCAGAAGAGTTGCTCCAAACTATTTCAACCCATATATTTTATGAAAGCCCGGACTTTACCCTAAATAAAAATCAATGTTATATCAAGCACAACCGTCGGTTAGTCACGTAAATAAATCCATTATTGTGACTTTAAATCAGTATTGTGAAGAAATTCACGAGAAAAATACAGGTTAAAACAATAGTGTGTAAGGGACGACGTCAAAAGATCGATGTCAGATAAAAAACTTAATTCCTTTAGTTTTTTACAAACCCCCCTACCCCCCACTGAAACTTAATTGATAAATATTGGTCATGGCGTCAGACTACATTCAACCATAGATCACAGGTCAACTCGCACCAAAACCAACTCGCACCATACCAACTCGCACCAGACCAACTCGCACCAATGCTAACTCGCACCAATGCCAACTCGCACCACCACTAATGTATTGGCCGATTTAAGAGGCATTCAGCTTTGCAGTTAAAAATAAACAGGTCGATGCGTATAACTATTCTAAATACCTTAACTGGAAGCAAAGTTACATAAGATTTCCCACCAGGGTCGATAAAATCAACAATTTCCAATGTCAACCGAAAACATACGCCGCCATCTTGTTCTTGGCGTAAAACTAGTTCCAGTACCGTAGGTTCATTTTTCGGCCAAAAAAAGGTATTTGTGGTCGCTAGATAGATGTTTTAGC